TTATTTCAAGGCTTTTCTATCTATTTAATTATGTGAAGAGTCAACCATGGGAAAGGTTTTCCAATACTGATGAGGACATCATCACCATGGAAAACTTGGTTTTCTCTGGTATTCAAATGACACTAATGAGTACTATATAAAATTGTTTAAAAACCATTAAAATCAGCAATACAAAGCAAGATACTTTTAGTACTAAGTACAGAAGTGAGTCTCTCACTAAGAGCTACTGATTCGTCTTTTACGAGTAGGTGAGAACAGCACTTGGAAACCATCCAAGATCCTTGCCTTCATCTCACTCAAGCAGAAGAGGTAATTATGGAAGAAACAGGGTAAGAACAAAAGTGATGTAAGAATTAAACATGAAAGTGAGCCCGTCCCGCATAGCCCAAGTGAGGAGACTCCGTCTTGGTTTCCAGTACTTAAAAGGGCCTAGAACCCAGTCTGGGGCTATAGTCTCCTGGGAGCTGAGGGAACAAAAACATGAGATTTTAGGGGGTGGAGACCCTTTCCAGCTGGGAGTCAACCCTTAGAAGAGAATCTGGTAGAAGGGAGAATGAATTTCTCATTCTTCCTCTGGCCCCTTGGCCCCTCTCCTCTTTTCCCCCGGGCTTCCTTTCCTAGTTCTGCCTTTGTAGGCCTTCCCCTCTGCCCTTTGTCTACTTCTCCTTATGCCCCTGGGAAGCAGTTCTTGCTTAGAAGAATATTGAGTGATTTTCTGGGGTTCCTTTTAATTACAAACAAATCTATAATTAAGGACAACTCAAACTCAGCAAATTTCTGAACATTCCAGCTTGCTTTTTCCTTTCTGTCCTTGTGTTTATGCGTATGATGCAGGCATTGGTAGAGATCTCTTGTCATTCCCAACGATGTGTCTCTGCATCATGCATGGGGTGGTCTTTTTGATACTGTAAATTCAGTTCACTGAAGTAGCTAAATAATGAGAAAGGTTTTTGGAGAAAAGGAAACGGATTTTTCCAGGCAAATTTTAAAAAGTTACAGTCCTACCACTATCTCAAAAAACAAAAAAGGTACTTTGAGGCAGGGAGTCTTTAAAGGACAGCCCAGCAGAATAGGCTTTGGGATGTTTGGGGCATGGTGAATGTGGGTCTGCCTATGTGCTGGACACATGCTGGATTGTGATAGTTTGAACCAGGGGCTGCAAGGCAGGCATTGTGTTGTCTGAGCCACAGCACCAGCCAGCTGGCACTGGTTATTTTCAAAGAAAGGTCTCACTTTGTGCCATCTTGTGTCATGAACTACTTGTGCTTCCCCCACAGCTGAAGTAACAGGTGTGTACTACCACGCTCAGACATCAGCTGACATGGAGTGTTTGTAACTTTCTTTTTTTGCTTAGGCCAGCCTCAAACTATGGTCTGATCTCTGCTTCCAAGCAGCTAAGATTACAGGCTTGAGCCACCACTCCTACCCTGCAAACATTTGTTCTTTTGGAGATACTGGGATTTGAACTCAGGGCCTCCTGGTTATCCAACTTGAGCTATGACAAACAGCCCAGCTTTTTGCTTGTTATTTTGGAGACAGGTCTTGTGGACTTTTCTTCCTGGGTTGCCTTTGAACCTCCAGATCTGTCTCCTGAATAGCTAAGTTTAGGTTTACTGGAGGAGCCACTAGCATCTGGCTGCAAAAGACATTGTTTCCTCAAAAGGAGAAGTCCAAGGAACAGGAATTTAAAACTTGCGTAAGTGAAAGCAGGCTGGTAAAAATGAGTCAGTTGAGTTAAAACTACCAATTGTGAGCATATTTTGTTGTCTATTCCATGTTGACTTAGGAGATTTAATGAATTTGGAGTTTAGATGTAAAGTAGGTTAAAAAAGCTATTCGCTTCCTAAATCCACTTTCAATGCAATATAATAATAATTCTTTAAGTTTTCCTTGTAACTTTCATTTTTCTACATGGTCCATATTGAGTTCATTAACCAATTTCCCTAAATTCTGATTGAGAAAAATTAGCACTCATTGGCTTTGCCAATTATATATATACCTTTCTTCCTGTACATTTTACATTTTATAGTTCCTGCAATAATTCTGTGAAATTTGTGTTAGTTTTTAGATTCTGCCATGATTACTCCCATTAATTACAAGTATTAAGTACATTTAATGTTAAAACTAACCATCAAACTCCATAGTGGCAGCGAACGTCTTACAACAGAAAGTATTCCGGCTACAACAGAAACTGTAGAAGTGATCAACATGTAATCAGAGCTACTCAGGATGTGAGATCTGAGGATCACTGTTCAAAGCCAGTCTTGGCAGGAAAGTGTGGAACTCATCTCCAGTTTACCACCAGGAAACCAGAAGTAGTACATGGCTCAAAGTAGAAGAGCACTAATCTTGAATGAAAAAGCTCAGGTAAACAGTCATTGTGGCTGGCACAAGGATCTTATTTGGACATATATGAGGTTTAAAAAAAAAGTTAAATGATTGGTCTTAAATGACTTAAATTTTAGGTGAACCCATACTTTTTTTGGGGGGGGGGGTCATGGGGCTTGAACTCTGCATCTGGGGCGCTGTCTCTCAGCTCTTCAGCTCAAGGTCAGCACTACCACTTGAGCCACAGAGCTACTTCCTGTTTTCCGGTGGTTAACTGTAGGTAAGAGTCTTGTGGACTTTCCTGATTGGGCTGGCTTTGAATGGCAATCCACATATCTCAGCCTCCTGAGTAGCTAGGATTACAGTCATGAGCCACCGGTGTCCACCTCATACTACATTTTTATTAGCTTGAGGTACTTGTTAGCTTTAAAAAACAAAAAAAATCAAGGATTTGCCACGTTAGGCTAAGTTTCCCCCCCAAGTCCATGTCTCCAGGGTAGTGTTTTTGAAAGGTGGTAGATAGAACCTTTAGGAGGTACAGCCTACATAGAGGTTCTTAGGACATTTGAGCCATGCTGGCAAGTCTTGTGTCCCTCTTCTGCTTTCTGGCTGATGAAACTTGCTCCAGCATGCATCCATGATGTATTACCATGCCACAGACCCAAAGCAGTCATGATTGATGGAATGAACGTCCAAAACTACAGGACCTTTTAAGTTAATTCTTACAAGTGTTTTGTTGTTGCGATGGGAAGCTAATACAGAGTAAGCGGGGGGAAACGAGGCAAAAATAAGGATTTGTATTCAGATATAATTTTGAGATGTCTTGTCATCCAAGTGGAGATGTCATCCGACATACTAGATGAGATCTTTACTGTATTTTTTTTTTTGTCTTTTCTTTTTTGGTACTGGGGATCGAACCCAGGACGTTGCACTTGCTAGGCAAGCACTTTGACACTGAGCTACATCCCAGCCCTAGATGAGATCTTTTAACAAAACAAACTAGGCATTTAAGTAATTAAGGAGCCTAAGTTCAGTCTCTAGGACATGCTTATTATTTAAGATCAGGGAAGTGAAAATGGGGCCAGCAGCAAGAGGTTGGTACCTCAGAAGCAGCAGCTAACGCATAGATTTTCTTAATACTGTAAAATTCCTTGGTGACTTTGCAAATAAATGGACTAAAGACAAAACTAAAAGGAGTCATTTACAGAATAACCAACCATCTAAACACTAATCCTAGAAAAGCCATGCCACGTTTTCATGCGGACATCAGAGCAAAACCTCTATCGACAAATTTAACCAGAAAACTAAAAGTTTAGACTTAGCTTGTAATTTATAATCTGTTCAAAGGCAGAAATCATATAACCAGGATAAAGCAAAATAAATATTCAAGACAATAGACCTGGTCTTGAAGGAGGGGTGGGGAAAATACTGGTACCGCACACAGGAAAATGTGAATATGGATCTGATGTTAGAGAAATAATAGTATTGGAGTTATATAAAAGTTTACTTAAGACAATGTCAAAGTGGACTTTCTTTGGGATTTTCTTTTGTGTCACTGAGCAGTTGCTTTTTCCTGTACTCAGGTTCACATTCTTCCTCTGTTCTAAAACTTTGACATCTAACCTTGACAATCATAGTATGTTTTATTTTCCTGAGGGGGCAGATAACATAATGTTGCTTAGTTTTGTACTATTGATGTGTTGGTGAATTTCTAAACTGTTAACTGCACTAAATTATATGAACTGACAAAAAACAAGTTTACTATTCCTGGAAGAATGTTCTAAGTTAACATATTAAAAATTAAATTATTTAAAATTACATAAAACAAATACAGTAATAATAAGTGGATCATTAAAACTGTTCTTTTCAGCTTTTTTGTGAAATTTTCCCTAATAAAGCAAATTGACATGCTAAAGGCTATTTAGGGAACATGGTTGCCACTGGGAGGAAGGGGGGCGTGCTGGATGGTACAACTGAAATCTAATAACCAAGGCAAGATACTGGTAAGCTTTTAACCCTCAGCACATAAGTCGTTCCCCACCACCCTGCCTACCCCAATCAATGATCTGGCCCAAAGTGCTAGTACTGTTGAGAGACTGACAATCTCTTATCCAACTACTTCTAAAAGCAGATTTTTCTACCCTGTGTGGTAACCAATATTCTCAAATACTAATGGACTGAAAAACAGCCTGGGCATCTTGTGCAAAGACTGTGCTACCTTTGGGCTTGTTCTCAACAATGAAATAATTGCCAGTCACCAAGAAAACATACTTTCACTAATTGGGTCAAGTATAAATGAACACATCCCAGCACATTTAGGATTGGAGTAATGAGTGGAAATATATTAGAATTCAATAGAAGCCACTGAAACACCTCCCTCCTTCAGAAAGCTATGTAGCTGTGTTTGGAAACTATGCGTGGAAAGTGAGTTATACTTGCCCAATCATGCTTTCACCTAGTAAGTCCATTTGGAGTGAGAACTAGATTCATTCTATCTACTGACACCTTTGAGATAAAGATTCTATCTATGCAGTAAGTGATAGAAGAAATTGCAAATTTCATTGTAAATCCTACCAAACAATGAGTTAGTTCACTGATTGCTAGAAACGCTTACATTTAAAACACTCGCTTTATTCAAATACTACCCTCTGTACATTTAAAAAAGACTCAGAACAGAAGTAAATGTTTTATTCTTCCAACTAAATTCCAGTACTACAAGGGCAGTAAAACAATGATACACTTGGGGATAAGGGGAGGAGATGCAGCAATAAACATTTGTTTAAAAGACTGATAGAATAAATAAAACTACCAAAAAAAATCATATAAACCCATTTTGAAACCCCAGAAAGTCCTGGAATACAGAAATGCCCTCCTTCACAATTTCATAGGAAGCACTGTAGGCTATTTGCTTAATATATTGTCTTCAGATTACATTCTAAATTATTAATAACTGGTTACAGCTTGGTTGTAGTGCACAATTAAAATCACACTAACTTCATCTCAAGTGCCATTCTACAGTTTTATTTACACAACCAGTGAAGGGCATGTTCTAGAATACCAGCTTTAATCCTTTTCAAACACATTACTATAAGAAGCCAATTGTAATGATACAGCAAAATGAGGCCACTGGTATTAATACAGGTAGCAAAGGTCCACATCCAGGTGGTACTGACATCAGGGAAATTTCCAAAACCAGTTGCTGCTGCCTAAGAGTGGTTGCCACTGACGAAAGCTTGAAGAAACCTGTATTCACAGGGGTGTATTGCCATTGCTGCATGTCATAATCAGGACCTCCTGCAACAACCAACAAGGAACAAGGCAGCCCACAATTGCAGTGGCGTGATTCATGACACATCTAGAGGAGAAAAGGAAAGCAGTGCAAAGAACAGGTCAAAATCCAAACTTCTCTACAGCAAAACTCAAAACCCACCAGGTTTTGCAGTATTATCCCTAGCTACTTAACTACAAGGATGCCTTGCTTGTGCTGCTTATTTTCTCCAGGCTTTTTTTTCCATTACTATTAAATTCTCTTCTTGAATTTGAAAATATTTCTCCTTAAAGCTACCCTGATTTGCAGAGTACAATTCATTCAAAAGCCAAATACTTACAACTAGCAGGCTGTTCCCCGTATCGTCGCATTATCTGATCGTGCGTAAACTTCACAAATGCATCATATTGTTCTAAAATAAAAGTACATGTCAGCCACATCACTTGCAAAATACCTTCTCTAATATAGTTGAGCCAGATACACTAAAAATGTAAGGTATATAATGAAATAATTCTAAGCAGGTATCTTAACCATTCCAATAACCTTAGTAATATGCAAAATGAGTTTTTAGTCAGGATAAGATAAGAGACAGTCAATCAACAGAATGGACTTAGGATCTAGAGATCTAAGTGGTTTTTAATGGAAAAATACTTTGCCTTAAAATCCCAAAGAAAAGTCTATATCCTGAGTTATCTGCAGAGCTCAGTATTGATCTTCATCTAAGTTTCAGTCCAAATCACATAATTTGTATACATGCTGGGTGGCATTTATTTACTAAGGATGAAAAACACAAGGCTTGCAATACAAAGATTAATCTTTAGCAAGGCGCCAGTGGCTCACACCTGTAATCCTAGCTACTCAAGTGACTCAGATCTGAGGATCCAGGTTCAAAGCCAGCCTGTGAAGGAACGTTTATAAAACTCTTATCTCCAATTAACCACCAAAAAGCTGGAAGTGGATCTGTGGTTTGGGTGGTAGTGTTAGCATTAAATAGAAAAGCTCAAGAACTGGGGGAAAAAAGTATCTATCTACTCTGAAAGTTTATTATAAGTAATCTAGGAATGCCAACTTATTGAAGTGCAACAGTCAGAAACTAAATAAATACCTATAATCTTAGCAGATGTTACAAAAAAAAGTAAGGAAGCAAATTCTCTTACCTACATAACACCTTGTTTTAAACTGTTAAGAATCAAAAAACCGCTAGGCAGTCTTTCATAGCTGTAATCCCAGCTACTAAGAGGCTGAGATCTAGAAGACTAGTTTGTTGCCAACCCAAGATAAAGCCTGTGAAACTCCTCCTCAACCAAACTAGTTGGGCAGGGCACGGTGCACCTGTCATCCCAGCTTAGGTGAAAAGCATATAGGAGGAAACTCACGGATTAGGGCATGGGGCTGGGCAAAAAGGAAGACTCAATCGGTGCAAAAGAAGGACTAGAGACATGAGTCAGTAAAAGAACACCTGCCTGGAAAAGTTCAAGCCCTAGTACCACCTAAAGTGAACAAACAAGAATTAAAAAGCTTATAAATTGACCACATAAAATAATATTTATTGAAATGAACTCCAGGAAATGGGAACAAAACGTTCCTTTTTGCAGTTTTTGTTTTTTAATCTGTCTTTTGGAGGGCAAAAGTGGGGTATAGAAATGGAAGGCCAAAGGGTAAACAAATACAGCAGTGGTACTCATTAAACACTGTTAAAAATGAATTCTACAACTTATAGGTGGGGAGGGGAGGGAATAACTGAGGAAAAGGAGTGATACTGTCCAAAAAGAAATGTACTAGCTAGACACAGTAGCTCATGCCTGTAATCCTAGCTACTCAGGAGGCTGAGATCTATAGATCACAGTTCAAAGCCAGCCCAGGGAAGCAAAGTTTATGAGACTCTTTATCCCCAATTAACCACCAGAAAACCATAAGCAGTGCTGTGGCTCAAGTGGTAGAGCACTCACCTTGAGTTGAACTTAGGGTCAGCACCCAGGCCAAGAATTCAAGCCCCTTGACCAACCAAAACCAAAAAAGTACTCTTCACCTGACTTCTGTAACCCCTCTGTACATTATAAGAAAAAAGTGTTGGGGCTGGGAACGTGGCTCAGCGGTAGAGTGCTTGCCTTGCATGCATGAGGCCCTGGGTTCAGTTCCTCAGCACCACATAAGCAAAAAGAAAAAAGCCGGAAGTGGCACTGTTGTGGCTCAAGTGGTAGAGTGCTAGCCTTGAGCTGAAGAGCTGAGGGACAGCGCCCAGGTCCAGAGTTCAGGCCCCACTACTGGACCCAAAAAAAAAAAAGAAAGAAAGAAAGAAAGAAAAGAAAGAAGTGTTGTTTTTTTAAAGCTTACAATAGTTTTTATACAATGTCTTATTAAAGGAGGGGGCATCCTGATCCAAATAGCATACATAATCTTACCATACTTAAATTGTAATTTTTAATAAATTCCATAGCTTAATACTCTAAAATGACATACGCAGTGACAGCAAAGGTATTTCAGATGTCTTCAGTGATGGCAAGGTTATCATGAAAGCCTAAAAACCTACAGCTCAGCTGAAATAAACAGCTGAAGTTAATTTTTAGCTAAGGATTATTTACGTGAAAAGTCAAATTTCTTAATACTGCTATGATCTTACATGAATAACTCTATTCCTAATGTTACTTTTTTTCCCTAATGTTACTGAGATGAGGTCTGAGCTTAAAGAAAGTTGAAACTGGGCACCTGTGAATCATGCCTATCATCCTGGCTACTCAGGAGGTTGAGATCTAAGGACCACAGTTCTAAGCCAGCCTGGACAGGAAAGTCTGTGAGACTCTTACTTCCAATTAATCACAGAAAAGGCTGGAAGTGGCACTGTGTCTCAAGCAGGAGAGTAACTGCCTGAGCAAAAAAAAGGAGCTCAGGGACAAGGCCCAGGCACAAGAGTTCAAGTCCCAGGACTGGCAAAAAAAAATTGATTTTATTAAGCTGAACTCCTCCTCCGATAAGAAGCGTGGGAATAATGCTTTAATAAATAATGCATTTCTTAAACTGAGTGTTTGGGACACTTAAATCTCTTACCTGCAAGTTTTGTGTTCAGTATTTCTTCATACTCTTCTCGAACTTTCTCTTCACGTTCTTTCAACAAACGTTCACAGATCATACCAACCTGCCGTAGAGTAAATAAGGGCTGTTCTTTTTTTAATGGTGAAGATGCTGCAGATGAAGTCCCTGTGTATAACATGAACAAAAACAACACCTCATTTAGAACCATGCTATAAATCATTGTCTAAATAAAAGAGGTTCATTTGGATCTTTTCAATGTTAATATAAAATCATTTTCAACATTTCAATTTTTAGTCACAAGATTAACCACGAGTCCTAAAACAAGTATAGTAAAAATTCTATCAGCCTATGGCTCTGGAACATAGTAAGAAGTAATTAAGTTTACAGGGGGAAAGTCTGAAGATGAGTCCCATTACAAAACTGTTGTCTCTATTCTAGCATACTCTTATTAAAGTTTTAGTGACTAGTTTGCAAGCTTTTCTAGAAAAAAAAAAAAAGGAACCTTTTTGGTATAAACATTTTATTTAGAACCAGAATAACAAATGATTAGGCTATAAAAATACACTGTTACCTAAAAGCCATATAGAAAATGTCTTACTTCCAAAAAAACTAGTAATTATTTCACTATAATACCTCCCTCATTTCCCAAACCTCTTAATTTTAAAGGGTTTCTTTTCAGAAAAAGTTATTTCTCATTGTTAGATTAAAAAGAAGCCAAGCACTGGTAGCTCATGCCCATAATCCTAGCTACCCGGGGACATAGAATCAGAAGAATGCAGTTCAAATCCAGCAGGAGCAGAAAAATGCAAGACTCTGCAATTAACTGGCAAAAAAAAGCAAGGAGTCAAGTGGTAGAGTGCCAGCCATGAGCAAGCCAATAAAGTCTTAAGTCAGTGTAAAGTCTGAGACCACCTCAGTTTTTGGGGAGGAGGAATGGGCACACCCTTTGAAAAGACACTCAAAAGAATACTCTGGAATCTAGATACCTACTCTTTGCTAAAGAAGCAGAATTAATTCTTTTTTTTTGGGGGGGGGGGGGGGGTCCGGTTGTGGGGCCTGAACTCTGGGCCTGGACACTATCCCTCAGCTCTTCAGCTCAAGGCTAGTGCTCTACCATTTGAGCCACAGCGCCACTTCTGGCTTTTTTCTTTTTGCTTATGTGGTGCTGAGGAATCGAACCCAGGGCCTCATGCATGCAAGGCAAGCGCTCTACCACTGAGCCACCTTCCCAGCCCATAAAGAAGCATAATTAATTCTGAGTTTTAAACCGTGAACACAATTTCCACTAAGGTAATGTAACTTAAAGCTCACCTAGAAAGTAAGTGCTAAGTACTAAGCACTTACTCAAAATGATATACTCCAAACTATAGCAGAATTATAATGTCACCACACTAAATATCCAAGAGCAAATCTGTACCAACACTTTGTCTATTTCACTGAATTAGCAATATGACTTGAGTATGTATCTACTTGAAATTTAACAATATTACTAATATTACTATTAAAATTATTTTCATGTATACTGCTAGATATTTTTAAGGATATTTATTTTGTAGCAACAATTTTTAAGACATTAAATACATGTCTATGAAAAGCTTTATGGAGAACAGAATGCTAAGTATATTTAAAAGCTACTTCATGAGCAACAATTCAGAGAAAAGTTTATTTCTTTGATCTCAATGGAGGGGAACAACTGATCATTGTTTATGTTTTGCTTATCTGAATTCTGTATTTTTCTACAGCTTTGTTTTTAATGATATATGCTGTTTTGTAAAAATACATTTTGACAATAAAGACCTAATATTCAACACTTAAAATTTTAATTCAAAATCCTTAAAGACTGCTAGTGTTAATAGCAACCTAGTATTTATCAGATAGTAAGATATTTCAGACAGTCCCATCAACTTCCAAAAACACAATTCCCAGCTTCTTGAGAACATCTGCCACTAATCTTTTTGAGCACTTAGGATTATGATGGCCATCCTTACAATATTGCTGTAAGGACCTTATACACAGAAGCATAAACTCATTTGCTATTAACTTCTTTTTGGTGTTTTGGTCTATATATATGCTGCAGTTACTACCTCTTACTCTTCTCTGCACTAGCTCCTTTATAACCTACATAGCCGGGCATAGTTAACTACTCATTAGAACTGCGTCTGTTAAAAGAATAAAGTGTAGCAGCTTTGTTAAGTTTGCCAGTTAACTGATTTTCAAAGAAATAAACTTATATTAAAAAGATGATGACTGGGCTGGGAAGGTGGCTCAGTGGTAGAGCGCTTGCCTTGCATGCATGAGGCCCTGGTTTTGATTCCTCAGCACCACATAAGCAAAAAGAAAAAAGCCGGAAGTGGTGCTGTGGCTTAAGTGGTAGAGCGTTAGCCTTGAGCTGAAGAGCTGAGGGACAGCACCCAGGCCCAGAGTTCAGGCCCCACTACCGGACCTCCCCCCCCTCCCCGCCCAAAAAAAAAAAAGGTAAAGAGACGATGACTTTAATTTCTACAAATATAGTCAACCTCCCTTTGGCATGTTTTACCTACTCTCATTCCCCAAACTGATAGGAATAGTACAGTAGTTTCGAACAAGTTCATATTCCCTGATCTAATTTAATGGCTTTTGAATTTTTTTGTTTTCATTCTGCTAGGTTTTCCTATTCTTGCTAAAGGGAAAGAAATCAAATACTACCACAAGACAAACCGTATTTGCTATGGACATGTCTAAAGGAAACACTCTTGATGGCTCGTTTTTAGTTAATGTTTCAGCTTTCTTATTCAAATGGTACTTATTTTCTGCCTTAAATAGTATTTTTGAAAAAGGTAGGTAAGATTGGATACAAAATCAAAAGATTCACTTTTAGAAATCTAGCCCAATAAGGCAGGTAGTAGGTGTTAAGTATGTATACAGATAATTCTATAAATTCTGTAATACCAGAATTTTTGATTATGAGTAATTACAGGAAATAAAATGGCATCAGTAAAAAAGGTATAACTATTCCGAATGAAAGAAGCAAAATCTCATATTGAATGGAGGCTACAAATTATAGTCTTTACACAGTGTCTACTGATTGTCTTTGGTTAGTGTGAATCCAATTAATGACTATTTTGTCATATTTTTAAGGTATCATACATATATACATATATATAGGGGCTTTGTTTTGTTTTTAATTTTTAATAATAGGAGTTTAAGTGACTGAAGGTATTTTAATTACACTTCTCCCATACTGTTCTCATTACTTTATTACCTGGTGAAGCTGGTCCATTGAGGAGAAATACATTTGGCTGTGCATCAGAACTACAACCTGGATCTGTCTGCTGGAAACTAGTTTCTAAATGTCTTCTCTTCTGCATACGTTTATACTCTTGTTTTATGTTGTACAGAATTTGTTCTAAAAGAAAAAGAAGTTTAAAATTTAGCAAAGTAAAAACTTTCACATCACCAGTTATTTAGAAGAACCAAGATATCCAAAATCATTCCTTCAAACAACATACTAAAACTGACAGTCTATAAGGAATTCTTTTCAGCACAAATGAGGGCAACTTAATCATCTGGGATCCATTACCCAACAATGACTAGTGTTGAGCAGAGATTAGCAAAAATTTAAGCAAAAATTTAAGCCTTTTACTCAAAGGCCAGGGAGTCTGAACCAAAACATAAATTTTACTCGATTCTTAAGTTACATATTCATCACATACAAAACTACCAAACAGGTATTTCAAAGTCCATAAATACTTAGAAAAAAGGATACCAGTAAGAAGTGACTATAGGTCTACCAAATGACAAAGTATTAACTAAGGCTCTAGAGTTTAATACTAATGGCCATGACTAAATAATTATCCAGGATTAACAGAAAAGCATTCTGAATCTTGAGGGAGAAATTCACAGGAAGGTAATTAGTACATAACAGGTCCTCTCAATAAGACAGAACAACTATACCGCAGCAATTATTTTTAACCACAACCACTAAAACACCATATCCTTTAAGCCAGTATGATTCACTTTGAAAAGATTTCTAAATCAGAACAGCTACCATTTACTCTCTCTAGAGAATGCCTGTTGGAGGTGTCCACTCTCCTTTTAGGCTTTCTGACTACCAGTCCCATGCTCTCAAATTGTAAAAATAGATCCCGAGCCTAATCTAAAGCAAAACCAAACAAAAACAAAAAAGCAACAATAGGTAATAAAAAGCAATTTACAAATTTAGTATAGTGAGTAATGATGCTTTAAGAACTAAAAAGTTGAGGCAAAAAAAAGTATATGTATGGTAATAAGCCTTTTAAAAACACTGGTAGGTTTTTCATATCTAAACCTTCACTTGTGTCTTTTCTTACTTTAATTTCCCTAGGGGAATTTTAGAATTCTCAAAGGACTTAACTCCTTCCTTGAAATATTTTAAATATTGCCAACATTGTAAGTGCTGCCAGTTTCATTACTGTAACAGGAGTAAGTTCCAGCAAATCAATGGTCAAGAGCTGGGCTTCAGTGGTTAGCTGCTGGGTAGCTGAGATGTTAGGATCTTAGTTTGGAGCCCTCTGGGTAGACAATTTCTAGTTAACAATTTAAAAAAAGCAGGAAATGGAGGTGTGGTTCAAGTAAGTGGCAGAGCATCACAAGTCTTGGGTAAAAAACTAAGCAAGAGAATAAAGTCCTCAATTCAAGTCCCAGTACCAAAAAAAATCTATTTTAATTTTGTTATGTTAACAAAACATTGTGTGTGTCTGTGTGTCTGTATGAATGTGGATAAAATATAAGAATTATGGGGCTGGGAGGTGGCTCAGTGATAGAGCGCTTGCTTTGCATGCATGAGGCCCTGGGTTCAATTCCTCAGCACCACATAAGCAAAAAAGAAGCCAGAAGTGGTGCTGTGGCTCAAGTGGTACAGCACTAGCCTTGAGCTGAAGAGCTGAGGGACAGTGCCCAGGCCCAGAGTTCAGGCCCCATGACCGGACCCCACTCCCCCACCCCCGCAAAAAAAAAAAAAAGAATTATGTTTTGCAATGATTAACTTCAAGAAGACTGTGTCAGCTTTAGCTACATTTAATATTTTTTAGAACCTTAATAGCTTAATATGGGTTATAGTTATTTTCCGTTTATGTATAATTCTTTTTACTTTTTAGTTCATTATTTTAAAACAAACTTACCATTGTGAAATAAAAGTACTGTTTTGGCAGTAATTTATCTTGATATAAATGGATTTAATATTTACAGGTGTGAAATAAAACTAGCAACAAATCTTGTATCAATCAGTACAAGAGCAAATTCATTTTTTAAATCTGTAACAGTATCCCATCCCACAAGATTTTAAAGTTTGTTATTTTCTTTTTTCTTTTTTTTTTTTTCGGTTGTGGGGCTTGAACTCTGAGCCTGGACACAATCCTCCAGCTCTTCAACTCAAGGCAAGCACTCTACCACTTGAGCCACAGCACCACTTCCAGTTTTCTGGTGTTTTATTGGAGGTAAGAGCCTCATGGAGTTTCCTGCCCCGGCTGGCTTTGAACCGTGATCCTCAGATCTCAGCTTCCTGAGTAGCTAGGATTACAGGTGTGAGCCATGAGCACCCAGCTAAAGTTTATGTTATTTTCTACAGCAAGGTTCATTCACCAATTTGCTGTTTAAAACTACCAAAATCCTTACTTTAAAATGCCACTCAATCACAGTAAAACTTATTCACAACCAAACTAGGATATACTAGCTCAGAGTAACTTGACATCTGCCTTTTGCTGACCTAAAATATTTTAACTTCTTGTTCAGATTTTTTGCTTCCTGCCTCACCAAAATCAATGGAAGCACAATTAAAATAGCAAGCTTGTAAAAAAAACCTATGATTAAGACAGTTAACACTTTTTAAAATTTACCTTTGTAAAACTCTGTACTATCTAATATTTAGACAACACTAACAAAAGAATTCGAAAATATAATGGAGTTCAGACAAGTGAATGCATATGTAGTGTCTTGGAAGTATAACTTTTGTTACTCCAAAGTCTCCCCCATGCTACTCTGCAGTTAATTCCACCCTATCTCAACTCCATACACATACCTCCGTTTGTGACACATTCCTACTATTACTATAGTTGGCTCTCTATCTTTCAGTTCTGAATCTACAGATTCAACTATGAGTAAGAATATTTTAACTGAATATGACTGAGTTTTTCATGTATGCGGCATATACCAGTAAAATCCCCCCCTTTTATTGACTAGTATTATTCGTTGTGTTAGACAATTCATTTATTTATCTATCCTATGATTAATATGCAAATATTAGTCTTTGGAAAGACATGTTTTCATTTCTCTTGGATAATACCTAAAAGTGGGATCAGATTCCATTAATCACAAGTGACCATGTGTTGGTGTGTTGTTGTTTCTGGAGCGGGTCCTAAGGCCTGAACAAAGGTTCAACAAAGCTCAGGATGCTTTCCCTGAGCTTTTTTGCTCAAGACTAGTCTTTTATCATTTAAGCCATAGCTCCACATCCAGCTTTTTTTGGGTACTTAACTGGAGATTAGAGTCTCAGTTTCCTGCATGGGCTGGCTTAAACTGTGATCCTTAGATCTCAGCCTCTGAGTACCTAGGATTATAGGCATGAACCATTAGCGCCCAGCTTACTGACTTTACTTTCTAACAAAGTGCCAAACTTTGTTCCAGAATGATTTTGCCACTTGTCATTTCAACCAGCATAACTGCATGAGAATTCCAGCTGTTCCACACCATTGCCAACACATGATACTGTCAGTTAAAGAGCTGAAGAATTTTGAATTGCCTGTACTGCTTTTCACATTTAATATGATGCAACCAGCTCATCTAAATCACACTGTGCCCTCAAATGTTCAATACCAGTAACATGTGACCAACATCATGCAGTAAATGGTCCAATTTAACTTGGCCAAGATGGCAGTACAGATCACCAGCAGCAAACTACAAGGGTCAAGCCTCAATTTATTTCAGTTCATGGGTATAAACTGTTTATAATCCCAATATTTGATACTCCACAAAAGAGAAAATAGACCATGTGTCCAACATAAACTACCATGTCAGCTGTATATAGGCCTTCTATATATATTAATAATTTATTCAGTTCATTGTAAGCAAGTTAGAGCTAACCACCTTTCCACAGATTAGCAAATACATTTGTATTTCAAGTACTTTATTTCAAGAATAGATATTTGATAGTGTTGCCAACACAATTTATAGTCCATTAAAGAAGAATAAAACTCAAATAAAGCTTCATGTGCATGAGTTGCCTATTCCAGTTTTAACTATGTTCATCATTACACTTGCAAAGCACTTATATGCCTGTCAAGCGAAATCACAAATAGATGTATAAACCTTTTGTAAAATCCTAAAATCTGCATCACTCTTTTACCATTCAATACTAAGGGAAAGTAAGAACAAATTCTGGCTCACAGCATTTTTCACTCTCAGATCTAGTAAATGCCATTAAGAATGCTAATAAAAATTCTCCTCTTAGTAGGTCAGAAATACCAGTAAAGCGGGGCACCTGTGGCTCACGCCTGTAATCCTAGCTACTCAGGAGGCTGAGATCTGAGGGTGGTGGTTCAAAGCCAGCTGGGGCAGGAAAGTCTGTGAGACTCTTACCTCCAATAAACCACTAGAAAACCAGAAGTGGCGCTATGGCTCAAGTGGTAGGGCGCTCGCCTTGAGCTGAAGAGTGCAGGGACAATGCCCAAGCCCAGAGTTCAAGCCCCACGACCGACCGAAAAAAAAAATACTAAGTCAGAACTTACTCTTGCTGAGTGCTGGTGATTCACACCTGTAATCTTAGAAACTCAGGGGGCTGAGATCTGAGGACTGTGGTTCAAAGTCAGCCAGAACAGGCAAGTCTGTGAGACTTGTATCTCCAATAAACTACTAAAAAAAAGCTGAAGTGGAACTGGGACTCAAGTGGCAGCCTTGAGCAAAAAAGCTCAGGAACAGGAACTCACAACTAAGTTCAAGCCCCAGGCCTGGCACAAAAAAAAAAGGAGGATTCAGTTATGGGATCAAGATAACAGGAATTGGTAAGAGAAATAACTTCAAAACAGCATCAAGCTGCGTCTGAGAATAAGGGGAAGACTGAAACTAGAAGCAACCAAAAGTGTGTTTAAAGGAGAATCAAAAACAGAGGATATGAAGTTAGAGATTATGTCAAAGTATACTCTGAGTCTATAAATCCTGAAACCGACATGTGAAATTGAATTTTTTGCCCCAAATCCATAGTTATAATTTTCCTACTGCCATTATTAGATGAAGCACTAGGGTTCAACAGTTTTTAAAGCTTATGTATATGATACTCTCTTATATCTCTTTACATTCCATCTATTTCAGTATGGAATGAATTATCTTTGAAAAAAAACAAAGTGAAAGTGCATCTAGACAGAAAACAGGATTTTT